GCAATAAATAAAACGCTGATATAATTTTATATTTTTATATTGTTTACCTTAAATAAAATATTATAATTCGTTATATTCACCAGGTAAACCCCAAAACAAAATATATATTAATTAAAGTTAAAACAAATTAGTGTAAAAAATTAAATTTACTTCAATTCTGTACAACCAACAATGAACTTCAATAAACAAATAAAAAAATATATGTCAATTAAACAAACCATTCCTAAGAACATAAACAAATCTACATACAGGTAATTACGAGTATAATTGGTATAAACAAAAAAAAAAGGATAATATATATACAATATACAATCAAAAATAAACGTTGCAATAAAATATGCTATTTAAAGAAAAATCAGTTTTAAAAACACAAAGATATCTATTTAGTTACAAAGAATATTAAAAGAAAACTATAATAAATTATAAATCAGTCTTAAAAACACAAACAAATCTATTTACAAAAAATATTAAAAAAAAACTAGAATAAATGGAAAAGACAATTGAATCGCATTGTTATAGTTACTTGATTTGAAAATGCACTGTAAAACTTTCTAATTCACGACGACTTGACTGTCCCCAACACACAAAAAAGTACCGTTAAGAATTAATTCTGTTTTAACAATCATATTAATAACCTAAGTTTTTTAAGTTTGCCTCAATTTATTGCACTGAAAAAAAAACCGTTAGAGTACATGGATTAATGGAAATGCAATAATTTTTTCGTCTATGGGCAACAGCAAGCATTTGGCTATTATTAAATTTAAGGGATTACAGCTTAAAGCAGAAGACAAATTCTGCGTTTTAAAAATGCTAAATTTACTTGAATTTAACGGATAATCGTAAAATGGTTGCATTGACAAAAACGCATACCCTATCAGGAAAATCTCGTTGTCAATAATTTTTTACAATGAAGCGAAATGTGCCATGTATAGTAAGTTACCAAAAAGTATCGTAGTGTTACAGGCATCTACCTGTATATAATATCCAATGTTATATGTTATATATGTATATATGAATTCATTGTATTTTTTTAACTTACAAAGAAATCTGCTTGTTCTAATAGGCAAAAATAATCTTGTAATTCGTCAAAATTTGTTTAGGTGTGGTCTTGGCGGCATAACTTCTATTTTTGCTTTCTTTTTCAGTTGTCAGATTTGATGACGTTTTCATGTTGGAGATTTTTTCACTCGTTTCCTTTAGCATTTCTTTCGTTTCGCACATGTGTTTTGTATTTGTTTCAAATCTAGAATAAAATTATGTTCATTAGCATTAGTTCATAAAAATTTGCAGTAACATACCTATGCAATATTTTATGGCGCCTCATTTTCAAAAACAATCACCGTAAGTTCTTCATAATGGTGGTCTTTCCAGCTTATCTGAAAAAACTGCTTTTGTTATCTACGTACAGTTATCAAAAATAACAGAAACACGTAAAAATTAAAATGATTACTTTATTAGATATTAACTTACCTAGTGTAAATAAGTACAACCGACACTGAATCGCAGAAAATTTCACAAAACTGCGTTAAAAATGAAGTGAGTAACGGATACACAAGAAAGCTTCGGTGGTTGAGACCCAACTAGAAATATTGGAATGAGTCACTGTGAAGTGCAATAAACATAAATACCGAAAAAAGGGAAAATCCGAATGCACGCCTCAAACATCTGATGTATTGTATAGTAAATACGGAAGTTAAGCATTATTTTTTCATTAGATGAAATAAATTTAATAAAACTAAATATTAAATCACTCTCTAATTTTTTTGGTAACCATTATCACTTTATAAACGTCTTTATAAAATCAAAATTCGAGGAAGGAATTCTTCAAAACCTTGTCCCGTTGTAGGGACAATAGGCAAAGAATTTTTATGACTTTGTTTGTGTCGTAGGGTCCTTTCACTATTATACGGTCAACCCCGGATGTTCTATTTATAATTTGCCAAGCAGGTACTTACAAAATAACATTTCCAGAGTAAACAAATTTTCAGAAATTAATTATTTTATTAGAAATTATTAGAATGAAAAAACTTGTGTTTGGTGTATTTCTAATAAAGCCGTTGTATTTTTTGCTCTAAATATAATTAAACATTATGAAGGCCACTTTTTAAAGAATACGACCACCCACATCTAATTGATCATATAATCTATAAAAAATGACGAAAAAAAGACGGCCTTTTGACGTCATTAATTGACGTCAGAAGTAAGTCATAAAAATCTCGTCATTATCACGTGATTTTTTGGGCGAATGACGTCGCCGACGAGTTATGACCAAAAATTAACGTGAATTAGACGACAGTCTGCTGCTTGGGAATGTTTCATCTTCGGAACAGTAGCTTAAAGTATGTATGTACCTGAGGCAGTGCGTGTTACAGTTGGTCGATTAGCTTGCAAATGAGCATCATTATAGGAGTTATTCATCTTGTTGGCTCTAACATTAAATATAATCTTACAGTTCTTACACCATCCATTAAAAACCTTTCAATCTATAATTATATACATATTATACAGGGTGATCTTTTTAAGCTGAAACTTTCAAATATCTCGAAAAATGTGCATCTACGAAAAAATATTTAGAATAAAAATTTCATCATTCCGTGGGGAAATATATTGGTGATAAAATTAGTCCCCCTGTCATATTCCTTGGAAGTGGAGCGGGGGGTAACTTTGAAATCTTAAATAGGAACTTTTGCTTTTAATGCAAATTCGGATTCTACGACTAAAACATTTAAAAGTACGTACAATTTGTCTGAAACATTTTTTTCGATTCATGATAGATGGCGCTGTAATATTTATTCTAAATATTTTTTCGTAGAGTGCATGTTTTTCGAGATATTTGGAAGTTTCAGGTTAAAAAAATCACCCTGTATATTAAGTTTACTCCAAAGTTAATATTGATATCTGATTCTGATGTATACCTACAATGGTGTTGTAGAAACTTAGAAACGTTTTTTAACAGTGTGATTAACATTTTAAAACAATGGACTAAGAGTGAGAATTTTTCCTCTTTTAGGAGAAGCACATTCTAGAATTATCTTTACCACTATTACATCTGCCTAGATCAGTGTGCCAGTCAAATTAACTTAAGTTTATCTGATCACGATACTTGGGTAAGAATATACCTACGTTTAGGTAAATATAAAAGCAAGCAAAACTTGTAAGATCTTATGATGCAGAAGAGGGGAACTTTCTGTTTTTCTGTATGCTGTAATAAATCGATAATACCTATTAAATTTAATATTTGCTTAAAAATAATTGCATATTATTTCAACTTGACATTTTTATTTGGACAAACATCTAAAGTAAGCTTAATCATCTACGCGATTTAAGTAGTACACTACAGCAGTCTAAACCGTCTTTGATAAAAAATTATTGGAAATGTCAATTTGCATTCTGGGGCAATTTTATCTTCTTATTTTATAACCTGTAATATACGCCACAAAATAAGGGAATATAGAAAAATAAAAATGTTAATACTACTGTGGCGAATTCAGTTTTAATAAAAACGGAAATAATACGGTTGTTATATCCAGAGAAAAAATATGGGGAATTTACTTTTACCGTGTTTTGGGGTCATCATCTTTAGCAAAATCTGTAATTTTATTTCTTAGTCAGAAGAACATGACTAAAGCACAGATGATAGTGCACTAACGCATTCATAAAGACTTATGGTTTTTTATAATGACATCATAAGGGAACGTGCACATGTAAATGTAGTTAATGCACAAAAATCCTCAGTAAGTGCGAATATCTTACTAAAATTTCAAGGAAATGTGTATTGTACGAAGAAATTGATGGCACTATTGAAAAAACAAAAAAAATCTTCACTGAACAAATGTTTTTTCGGGAGTGGTTATGCTCTTATTGCTTACTAGGAATTATTTTTACTTCTTGACCGTAAACGAGGGAGTCATTTTGTCAAATGTGTGATTTTATATTTTCCTGGCAAGCGACTGAATATGAAAATGTAAGTTTCTCATTTGTTTTCTATGGTGTACGGAATGTGCCACCATGATGTGCCTCTACTTTTAATTGAAGGCGCAAGTTGTTACAACAAAATTTAACAACACACAACTCATTTCGTAATTGTAGAAGTTTAACTTATTGTTACGTTGAAGCGGTGAATAAAATCGGCGTGGGTAAAACTCAACAATTTATTTTTTAATAACTCAAATTTACACGACTAACTGCACAGTGATTATGCACAAACTAATTCCAGCGCGACTTGTTCGGCTCTTCTTAACATTCGCTGGACTCGGCTCGAGTGAATGGATTTGACTAGGCTTCTCCCATTGTCTAGATTACACTCGACTGACTCGTTCCCGAAGGTGGCCTCTATTTAAACCCATTCTTCCTTTTAAATGTACGGCAATCGGAGTCTTTCTGCAGTACCCATCATCGACACACATACTAGAAAAACCCATAGGCGTCGTATGGGTTTATTTCGCAACATTATTTTGTTATCCTATACAGAAAATCGATGAAGTCATCTTAAAAAATTATTGAATTATGGATCGGAACATTTTTTTAACCATGAACATACACATCCAGTATTGATTTATGTATATGTGTATTTTTTATAATTGTCCTGTAAGTGGGTGAAGAACCTGTTGGGCAGTAAATTCATTATTATTATTACATTATAAAGTCCCCATGTGGAGCTTGAAAAAAAAAAACACACATCTACTGTGTCGATGCATCGCAGGTATGCAACCAATGTTGCTTTCTACATTGGGTATTTCAACAGTTCTCTTGTCTTGCTTCAGCAACAAATAAACGCACAAAATTAAAGTAGGTTTCCCACATTCTAAAGTAAACTTTACAGTTGATAACCACACACAGTTTGACCGTCCGATGTTTGCTACTGTCACCACGTCCTTTTTAAATCAATAACACCACGTATCTCAGAGCCTACTGTAACTCAAAACGTTATTGGTCCTACGACACTTGAAACAACGTTTTCTACTGGGATTATAAGGAACACTGAAGAAAACAAATTCAAGCATCTTTTAACTTTTATTTCTTTGGTATTTGTACAATTTTAATTTGTACGTGAGAAATGACACACGGGCATATTTTAGAAGTCACTATGGCACAACCTGCAAGCTGGCTTTAAATGACAGTGATTGCACAAATTCGATAACATAATGTCTGATCAACAAAAATCGTCCTCAAGTAGGCGAAGGATTCTTAGCTGCCTTTTTCATTTCTCGTTGAAAGTAGTAAATGACAAAAAAGATAGCTTGTTCGTCCATTGGTAATTCGAAGGCGTTTTTTGTTGATCGCACTTGATGTCATACAGCGTGAAAAATTAAATAAATGTCGATTTTTGAACACGGAAACTATATTATTGTTACAATTATTGCTTTTAGACGCTACAGTTACATTAAACATTAAATGTATTTTTTACTTTACATAATAAAATGAAAAAGTTAATAAATTCCTAGTGCGTATTGGAATGGTACATAGCACATCAATTTTCTATACTTGCAGTAAGAAATAGTCAGTAGAATCTCAACATCAATATTAAAGTCTATGCACATTTTAAAAATCAACCGATGCTGCAATTTTCACTTTGGGCTAGTTGGCCGTCAAGAACCCACCAAAATAAAAGGCTGAGTGTATTTCTTCACATTTTACTACAAAGGTTTACTCTTTTACATGCAAGAGAGCAAATCCCTTTTTCACACAGCACTTATTTGATACACTGTGCTAATTAAATCCGAAATACAAATTTTGTCAATTTTATTACTCCGTTGCTAATATTAATCAACGAGTGGTCGATACTTAAAATGTGATGGAATACATGTATTGATTACACAAAGGTTTATGGGATAAAACCAGCTCTGATTGCGGAATAGTGAACACTTTTCTTAAAAAAGTACAAGAAAGTTATAACAAAATCTAACCGAGAATAACCAAATATTCGTAAAAGTTGTAATGTAAATTCGCTCATGACTAGATCACAACAAGAGGTAAAAAAATTCACTAATTATTACTAAAATTTAACTAAACGTTTCTTTATTTAATGATCACATCTGCAGTCTTTTACAATCTTAATCATCTTTCGAGTTATGATTACTTTCGAAAGTAACCTTAGGTGAAGACGTATTTTTAATAGGACTTAGATCTCTCGAATTTTCACGCGTCAAACCATATTTGTTCCAAACAACGCAACCGATAACACAGAGTACTGAAATAAGCATCTGGACTATCAGCCATACAACAATATTAATAGCTTGTGTACGTTCGAAGAGCTCTCTTCCGTGTTTAATGCAGATTAATGCCTCCGAGACCATTATACACCCATAAACCCAACACTGTGTCCCTACTCGTTTACAAGTAGTATCGGTAACGTAACTGTAATACTGTCTAACAGAGGGTGCTACTACGACACCAATGAAAATTAACCTAGCCGTGACTAGCAGATGCGAAGCTGGCAGTTCGAAAACGTGTTTTAAGAAAAAAGTATTAAGTTCCGAGATTTGCCAAAACAGAACTAATTGGCATAGAGCAAATATTCGCATATACGAGCATTTGGGGTCCAACCATCGTACTGACGTAAAACTTTCGGGGGTAAATTGCAACACTGCACGTTTGATTTTACCAGTAGTCGAATGAATGTCTCTTATGCTCACCCACTTGTACTCCCTCATCTCTAGAATCTGACATATTTTGAGACCACACCATATTCCAAAGCCGTTGCATATTAAAACGTCCAATATGAGAGCGTCCCACCAACATTCAATAAAATTAGGCAAAAGGTGCGCGAAGGCAATCTCTGTAATTTCCCACATAAAACTTATAGCCCATAAAATCCCCATGTGTCTCATTAGTATGGCCTTAAACATCCATCCTAAGTAATGGCCCAACGCAAAAACATCAACGTGTGACCAGATGCGTTCTAAAGTGACGTCCGAACAGTTAACGCCGTATTCTTTATCCATGTCGATATGGAACTCTTTCAATGTTGGGTCGAACCAATATAAAATATTCTTCACTGTTTCATAGTTTTGGAATAGTAGAAAGAGACATCCGAGAAGATAAAGAACGCTCATACCGAATACCATTCGCCAAATGGCGGGATGCGGCCGAATGAATGGTCCGTTGGGAAAAGCCAAAACTGATATAATAAGAAAAAAGAAGATACAGCATAGCATTCCCGCCCATATGTTGTTCTCTACGTTGTCTGTGTCCCTGAAACAAAGATTATCTCATGAGGAAAACATGAAAAATTATGGCACATACAAGATAATAAACACTTCCCAGGATTAAGTCATGGGTCACATTAATGTCGTTTTAAATTGACACTTTTCGTTTTTTTTTGCAGAGTGTATAGACACAAAATTATGTATTATAACAATAAATTCAATAATAAAAAAGAATACCAATTTTAAACAACGTTGGTTCTTTTAGTTGTGTTTTCTTTACTAGTATTTGTCTCTTTATGACGTTATTAATTTTTAGATATATTTTTTAGTCGACTTTTGTTGATAGTCGCACTTTTACACACAAAATATTGTTTAAAAATCGTAAAAACGTTTGCAATACTTTTAATGATGAATTACTGACGAGCCCAGTTTATTTCAACCACACAAATGATCATTTTTACTTCCCGGATCTAAGCTAGGGAAGTACATATTAGAATAGCCATTTGGGAAATGGTTAATTTCATACTACTTTTTAGCGTTTCATAACTCCCAGACTATGGAAAAGTAGGTCCCCGTTTCCGTCTTTCTTGTAGTCCGTTGACAATTTTATTGGATACATAAACTACTGGACTAATTGTTGTGAAATTTTAGGTGTACTTTAGCAATAACGTGTAGATGGTAAAACGCTAATCAACATTTGTATAATCTTCCCCATCAACAATCTGATGACATAATTTTTAAATTTTGTTAGGTAAATCTTATTTTAATTTTACAAAACAGTATACTTTTTTATTTGTGACTTACTAATTTGCCCGGTTTTTTATTTAGATTTTGAAAACATTTAAATTGTACATTTATAAAATCGATTGCTTTGAAATATTGCAAACAGATCAAATTGCTAATAAAAATTATCTTGCTAGATAAATCTTATCTAAAATGTGCAAACTGCGCTTGTGGTTTATCAATGCACCCATATTTGACTACTCATGTTAATTATATAAAAATGACTTATCTCATATACTGTACAGTTGTTAGTAGAATGTTACTGTATCTATCGTGATGTATCTGTCACGATGTTAAAAAGTTCATGACTTTATCATAGAATTTTATAAGAAAAACTCACTTGAACCATACACATAATAACGTGATTTATCTGTAGTTTTATTACCTTTGAAAATTAAAACCATAATAAAATAACTTGGTTTCCGTTTCAAAGATTCAATTATTCATAAAAGTGTAAATATTGAGAACTATTTAATGTGTAAAAAATGTGCATTAAAAGTAGATGATTTCTCGATGGTTATCTACACGCACATGTGTATTTTTATAGAGATAACCATCAAATGTATGTAAGCTGTGTAAATATTTTTTTTATCTGATTATGTATGCACTGTCTATATAAGTTGTAACTAAATTTAAATAAGCAGATAATTCCAATTTATAAATCAACATTAGTTGAATCTTGCGTAGGTTAAAAAATATGCAATCTTTAATCGAAATCCAAGACATGTAATGCTCTCCTGGATTTCCAGTTATCTAACCCCGAGTACAATAAAAACACGATGAAAGACAGCCATGGGTTGTTGAAAGTTTGTTTTTGATCGTCCATTTTCAACCCAAATTTTAAAATTAACGGTATTTGTTGAGAAAAAAATTCTATCAAAACAAATCTTCAAAAATCCATAGCTCTTTTTTCGATAGTCCAATGTCCAAAATTTAAAATTATTTTTCATTTACAGTAGTCCAATTGCTATTATTTTTTCAAACATATACCGACAACTGAAATGATTTTTTTTAAGTTCTAAATGAGATTCCGCTAAACTCTCTGTAATACGAACTCGTGAGTCATTACAAGTGGAATTTGAGATATAGGATGACATATGATAACTCATAAGGTTCAGTTTAACTGGCTTTATCTATAGTTCTACTGTTTGTATTGTTCAAAAAAATATCATACGACGGCTGATGATAACTAGAAACAAAAAATCAGCAAATTAAACAATATTAGGTAAAATAAAATGAACAAAATCAAATCATACACACAATATTTTTCTTACTCATGAATGAGATGTCGTTCATTTTACATTGATTTGCGTGTGAAAAGTAAAAATTCATTGGTTGTACTGTCGGAATTCATTAGAAATAAATATAGATAATATAATAATAATATTTGTAATAGATAGGCAACTCCTTATACTGACAAAAGGACAGAGAAAGCAGCGGCCTCTGGTGGGCTGTTCCCCAACAAAACCAGGGTTCCAGCCTGCTGGGTTTTTATTTTAATTTTTGTTCCACATAATTTTTTTAATAAAACAACATGCATATTTCAGAAAATTAGCTTTAATTTTTTTAATTACAGAATTTATATGTATAATGTTCAACAATGTTCAATGTTTACTCACTTTTTTTTTCTTTTTTCGTAATATTTCTTGGCTGCGATATATATGGCGTCGTCGTTTCGATGGCGGTTTCGTTCATCTTTGCCACTGAGAACTTTATTAATACCACCGGCCCAATTATAACAAACTAACTCAGTGAATTTTGATATTAGAAATTCTTTGATGTCCCCCATATGTTCACAATTATCGTTAAATTCGAAGTTCACATTCATTTTCACAGAATTTTTCAATATTTCATAGCCAGATTTTTTGAAGCAAAATTTTGGTGTTAGTTTTTGTAGCACGTGATAACAAGAACTTAAACCTATAATAAGCTTCGGAGTATAATATTTCAATTTATTGGGAACCGAATCTTTAAATTCTTTTGCAACAACCAGATCATGCCACTCATTTTTGTTTACTGTTGTTAAATTTTTTTCGCATTTTATGCATGTTTCTATTCCTTTCAATTGTTTAACAACAAAACCACTTACGTAGCCCATGCTAATTTTATCTATATAAGAAAATTCCGGTCCCGGGCTAATCAATAAATTTTCGTCAATTGTTTCTATTTCTTCGGTTTCGTCATCTTCAGATAGGCCTTGCGTTATAAATTGTCTGACGGACGTTAGAATTTCTTCGGAATTATCCATTTCACAATTTGCAGAAATAGAATGAGTAGTAGTTAAATTATTAAACAAAAGAGTTTTAAAATGATTTTTAAATTGGGTAACCGTAGGATTTGTATTTCGAGCTCCTTGTTGACGAATTTGGCCGAAAAAATTTTCTAACGGGTCTTGATTGAAAACCCGAGGCTTAAAAAACGTTAAACCATGACTTTTCAAAATTTTGAAAATTTCTTCGAATCCATTTAAGGTGATTTCCCAATTTTTTAAACTTGGCGGGATAAACTTTTTGCCTCCTTTCTCAAAATGCATATTTCGTAGATTATTTCTCGCGCATTGCCAGAACTTTAAATGTTTGGATCGTTCTGTTACTGCACATCTCAAAAAATTCCTTTTCATGGGCTTTAACACCCTTCCGTTTACACTATCAAACAATTTGTTAAAAAAACTAAGGACCTTAGAAGTGCCAATCGCTTCCTCGTCTAAGCCACTGTCTCCAATTTTTGTCATTAGTCCCAGAACCGATGCAACTGTATGGCTAAAAACTTGTGCAGCACATGAGACCTTCATTTTCCTAATTTTTTTGGGATTAACATGACCCTCGGTAAGTTTTGGCATAGCACGTAGATCGGTCGAACACTTGTCTAGTTGGTATGCTTTCTGGATGTCTGACCATTGCGCACTTAATGGTTCTTTGTCTTGTATTTTCCAAATTAGTTTATATTTTAAGAGATTATTGCGAATTCCTTTAAGAAGATGCGAAGGATCATATATGTGGATTATTTTCTGCTCGTTAATTTTAAAAAATTTGATTTTGTCTCCTATTTGAACATTAGTTCCAATAGAAGATTTCATTAAATAATTAATCACTGCCTGATTATTCGTCCCTTGGTCACTTACTGAGGCTATAATTTTTAATCCTGCGTCTTGACATTGTTTTACAACTTGTTTAATTATTCTCGCCAAATCTATTGTTTTCACCGGACCGCTGGAGAAGGTGTACAGAAGGGGCTGTTTCCATTCCCTTTTTATACCCTTAATCATGAAAACGAGAGCCCTATCACCAATTTTTTCGCCCTTTTTCTCTCCAAAATCCTCAAACCCTTCAAACTCTTTTGAATGCGTGTTCAACGATATATGTGGTTCTATGGAAATTTCGTCAAACATTAGGACACATAGTTTTTCTTGCTGTTTTAAGCCTTTAACTTTTGCTTTTAAGTTGTCAAATAGTGCCTCATTGTAACCCGCTTTAATCGGTATTCTATTGAGTAAGGCCATTATGGTTTTTTTCGAAGGCATAGGAAATATTTTAGAAAAGAGTTTATATGCTCTGTTACTTTGTTTGTTCAAGATGAGACCCATAATTTTGCCATCCAACGTATATCTTCTACCATTAGGATGCACATCGGCTAATCTAATCTGGGTCTTTACGAAATTTGCAACCGTCCGATTCAAAGGCGCTGTCACCTTTTCAACTAGTTCTTCTTTCGAAATTTTTGTCACTTGCTTTTTTTTATAAAAATTTTTGGTTTTTGTAAGGCGGCATACCTTTCTCCTAAGTTTTTTTGTTAAATTGTAAAGTTTTTTTGCTTCTTCAGGAAGCTCTTTGCTGTACGTAACTCCTGCGATTTTTAAGATTTTTGAAGGAACTTCGTTAACCAATGCAGAGCTTGATGATCTTTTTAAAATGCGTCTTTCACTCAAGGATGGAACTGGGATGGAATCGGGACTGATTTGCTCGGAAGCGGGATCATTTATGGGGTCTGCAATAATAAATAATTGTAGATTCGCCAAAATGTAGTTTTTATTTCACCATGAAAAAGAGAGAAATACGTAAATATGTAAATTTTACCTGCAACCGTGTCTTCTTGAGAAGAAACAGGATCTAAATTTGAATCTGATACAGGAAAATGGAGAGGCAAAAAAAGACTTGGCAACACATCCTTTTTCAGCAACATATTAGACGACCGATCTTCCACAAGAAAATGCCTGTCACAAATACGGTGGGAGCGATACACCAGGTCTGCATTCTTAACATGAAG